ATCGAGACGTAACAGAATGTTTTCGTTTGCTGATTTGAATAGAATTCTTATATTATATAAAGGACAGTCTTTGAAAACGATATTTTTCAGAAAAGCGATAGACAAAGTTTATTTTAAAAATTACTTCGCCAATCAGTGAACTCATATAAGATGAGTCGTTTTTGAAGCTATTTTAAGCACTTGTAGGAGTGAAAGAAATGAGACGAGGAGAGACATAGCAATGGGAAATTTGCCCATGCTGTGGTTTGCCATTAAGAAGTTCGCCGTCGTTTGTTCCTGTCTGCCACGAATGGCATGATAAATGCCAATTGCCCCGCAAACAACAAACATCAATATAAATATCACGTAGTCTACAACACTCAGAGATGCCATTCTTCTGGTTTCTGTAAGAAAGAACCCATTATGTTTAACTATTAAGTGCTTTTGATAAAAAGGTATTAAATGCAATAATTGTTTTATTTTAGGATATTTGATTCGTTTCATGAATTTAAAAAAAAGCAATCATCAAATTTTTTTTACACAATTGTAATATAATATGATATATTGGTTGTATATCCAGCTACAGTTATAATATATCGAATCGGCTGTATATCCATCTACAGTTATAACCAAAAACACGCAAGGCTATTAGAAAACCTCTCCAAACCTTAGCATGTAAAGCAAGCGTTTTATTTGAAACGCGCGGGGGTGGCTGTGTAAACGCCTGCCGCGCTGTGCCATCGATAAATAAACACCCATTCAACTGACTGATTGACCAATTAACTCACCAACTAATCACTTTCAATTTATAAATAGACCGGAAGCTATTTCCGATTTCTTACATTGAGAAGGCTGGCAACCGGTCGAGGTTTCGTTTCGTTTCCAAGTGCTCACAGTATAGCGTAGCCAGCCCGACGATTTAGTCCCGCTATGCAAATATTTTTGTGTTCATTGACTGTGAGAACAATCAATTTCTAAGGAAATGATAATGATAATAATTTTGAATTTGCATAATGCATAGCATTAGCGGGACTAAATTGTCGGGCTGGCTACGCCACGGCGGGCATGGAGCTTGGAACGAGTTGCAGCAGAATCTCTACGACTATACAGAGAATCTTTTAAGGTTAGAAAAGTGCGGGAAAAAGGACTGTCATAAAGGACCAAGCATAACGTAATTAGGAATTCTATTCAAGTAATTTTGCATGCGTAATTAAGATATTTGATGAAAACACTAGTGACTTTCATCAAGTATCCAATATGGCATCTTGTGATCAAATAGGTGATTATCATTGGCTGAATTACTCATGAATTATTAATGAATTTGAGAAGGTACTTTCTAAATCATAGTTTTTGTGTATGTTTTCTTTGTTGTTGGTATTCTCGTATCTTTTTCACGTTTTTCTCGGCTATTTTCCTGTTGCCCAAATCTTGTCAAGACAAAAACAAATTCGACGAATGCCAAGCTGTTAATTTTACTCGTATAGAACTATAGATAAATTGTTGAAGGGTCTTGTAGATGGAAATTATTGAGTTGAAATTTATATACATTTATTAGACCTAACCAGGAACAGCTGCAAAAAATGCAACTATCGGTCCCTGGCAGGAATCAAACCTGTAGCCCTGCGATTCCGATGTTCCGATTCCAGCGTTCCAACCACCTGAGCTACAGAGGCCACTACAGAGGCCACTACAGAGGCCACTACAGAGGCCACTACAGAGGGCCAGAGGCCACAACAGAGGCCACAACAGAGGCCACAACAGAGGCCACTACAGAGGCCACTACAGAGGCCACTACAGAGGCCACTTCAGAGGCCACTACAGAGGCCACTACAGAGGCCACTACAGAGGCCACTACAGAAGCCACCGCAGAGGCTAGTTGGCAAGCTCTAACCACAAGTTCGTGTATATATATTAGGGTACTGCCATGTATAGGTTATGCATGGGTAAATATCAAGATTTTTTGGCATCACAAATGGCAATTATCGAGTGTAAATTTATATACATTCATTATTATTTACCCAAATCTATACATGACAGCACCCTAGTATATATACATGAACCTGTGGCTAGAGCTCGACAAATGGGCTCTGTAGCTCAGTTGGTTACAGCGCTGCACCGGTTAGGTCTAATAAATGTACATAACTCATAAGATAAATTGCTTTGTTCTTTCGTTCTGTTCTTTCTCGCTTTTTGATAAATTCTGTAAATTAAAAAACAGTGAAAAAACCTGTGTTGGCAACTTTATATTTTCCTTAATTTGCTAATCCAAAAACCCCAAGTTTCTTGGTTTAATCCAAAAACTGATCAAATCCTACCTTCTCAATAAATTTCAAAATTTCGTCAGTAATTACAGTTTTCGACAGTTTCTACGCTATGAGTAACACAAGCCATTAAGCCAGGCAATGTAAAAATAAAGAAACGGGAGGAGCGTAAACGCCAACGAGAGGCTGAACTTAAGGTGGCTCAATACAGTTTTTTAAAAATGGAAAATTTGCGATTTAGATCCGTATTTCTGGACAAGTACTACTTGTTGAAAAACAAAAAGCATCTTACTGATGTAAAAGAACATTGAAGAGTTTGAATTTTGAAACTTTGATACGTCACACCGCGCGCTCACTTTTATTCAGAAAACTTCATGTAAGGAGGCTCTGTAAAGGTGATTATTCATAATAATTTTTTTGGCTCAACAGAACTTTTTTAAAATTGTCAAAATAATTTATTATACTAAAAGAAATCCTTTTTTTAAATAAAATTTTGGGATCACCGATGTCGTTTAAGAGTTAAATTATTTCAAAGCCAAAATATACGCACGGCAGTTGCGTAGCTTTTGTATCGGTAATAATATCAGTAACACTTTTTGTTTTTCAACAAGTAATAATTTTCCAAAAATAGAGAGAGTCAAAGAGACAAGTATAAGAATTCCTCTTGTATTGTTAAACTAAAGATATATAAAAAAACTGTTTATAAGATTTATTACTGTATATTCACATTCTCTAATTTGGCTAATAATAAAGAATGGTACTTGTATATCGTAAGTATACGAGGGCTATTTATTGGTCGTTGAGTTTCAGCAATACCAATTCTGGAACTATTTTATAATCTCTAAACGGAGTCGGCATATCAGAGCTGTCTCGACCGGAATCGCAAGCCACTGATGCGATTCTTGGCGGAGGACTTGGTCTAAGTACATGAATAAATTTTAGCTACATTCGAAATTTCCATCTACTAAACCCTGCAACATTAGTTAATTAAATCGAGTGAGATGCCCAAATATCTTGATAATTGATATAGTAGTATAGAACTGCTAACAAATCTTCGCCGAAAGCAATTGACCATTTGCGTAATAGACTAAATTTTGATCGAGACAAAAATTTCATCAGAGCTTGAAAGAGCATCACAAAATTAGTAATATTCCAAAGTTTCGTTGCGAAATGTTGTAAAATGCGGATAATATAGCCTTGCGAAGTTTGCAATTTTCAGTCATTTTAGATTACAAACAGAAAATTGACAGCCTCAAAGCGATACGGGCTGTCAATTTCCCGTTTGTAATCTAAAATGACTGAAAATTGCAAACTTCGCAAAGCAATATTATCCGCATTTTACAACATTTCGCAACGAAACTTTGGAATATTATTAATTTTGTGATGCTCTTTCAAGCTGTGATGAAATTTTTGTCTAGGCTTGTTTAGATCAAAATTTTGTCTATTACGCAAATGGTCAATTGACAAACAGCATCTTTTTCCTGTGGTTTTAAAATAAATCGCCGAACGTCAGAACGTGAGTTGCTAAAGGTTGCGCGAAAGAAGTTCTTTCGAGTGTTGGCAAGTCTTCGAGTGTTGACATTTTGGCACACGAAACGAAATTTAATAATAATGCGATCAGTTGTTAATACCGGAGTAAACGAGTTGTGTTATGTAATGTTGTTTAATACTTCCGCGCTCTATCAGCTGCTTATTAAACGCTTTGCGTACTTTGTAAATAGGATTAGTTTCTTGTACATAAATTTTTAAAATTTTATAGCTACCACTGGTCTTCGTCTAAGTTATGTGATGAGTGCCAAATCTCGTTACACGTGTTCTGGGTATCCATTGAAGTATTGAACACTCTGCCAGTTTTTATAACAAACGTATAAGCCGAATCTTAGAGGCCATCTTTTGGGCGTATAGTTTTCGCTCGAAAAATCCCGTCTACAAGTACAAATTAAGGTTACAGAACACCTTTGAGTGTTAATTTTGCCTAAAATTTTTTTATTGGTTTCAATGAAAGCATTAGACTAGTTCTACTATCTGACCAAGTTTGAACGGAAATGTTGAAAACTCGCAGAGTTATTTAGTAAAATACATTTCGCTGCAATAAGAAAAACATTGAAAATGTAATATTCAAATTCAATTTTCTGCCGAAAAATTTTAACGGTAATTACTGATTTTCAAACGAGTTGTGCTCCTGCGGGTTTTAACCAATTTTTCTCAAATTTTCACAGGACATAGCTAAATACGTCAGTTTCAAAATTGTGTTCGGCTTTTTTTTTAATTTTGGATATTTTAAAAATAAAGAGCAATTCACTCAAACAATTCAGAAATATATTGCAGTCGTCAAAGAAATCGCCATATCAGCGGAATGACGAAATAAACAAAAATTTCCGAACACAATTTTTTAGATCAACTATTTTGCTGTATAAAAATGATATTTTCATAAATATAACTTAAAACCAGCAGGAGCACAACTCAAAAGCGTAAAGGTACCGCGATTTAAGATTTTCCTGAATAATTCTTACATTATTTTATTGTTTGTTAATTTTACAACTTTACCATATTGTGCATGCACTGGAGAACATTTGGTGAAAATTTGATGAACATCGGACTGATATTGAGCGCGCAGTAGCGATTTTCCGCAAAACGCCGAAAAGGGTGCCCTGTAAACCTTAAATCCCTTTTTAAGCCTTTGTTTGACATTCCTATCCAGTTATAAACACTCATGATTTAACCTTGTTTCTTTTTTCATGCCAATAAAGATCAGGCCTTAAGCTGTCAAATTATACCTTTTTTGTTCATCATTGCCATCAAATATACGATCCGATTTTGAGTGATTAGTCGAATTAGCCTTTCGTGAGAATTTTTTTTGGGTACTGCCTCTCCCACGTTTGAGTCTTGAGAGTCTACCAGCTGTCTACGCACCACGAAATACAACTTTTTAGTGCTGTAGTCGGTATATTTACATTGTATAATGGTACATTTACAGTCACAACTTTTAAAAGTCGCTTTTCACGTTGTTTGAATTGTCTAGCATCTTTCACGAGGGCAGACTGTATACCCCCAAAATGGCGGACTTTGGCCTTCGTGAGAAAGGATAATTTGCATTTTTCCGCTTTTGGGATTAAATGGTCTTTGTCTGACTTTGAAGTTCAAACATTTGCAGCCAAATTATTGCCCATATTTGGGACACAAATTTCCAGTTTCGAATGTTTTACCAACTATAAATTTCGTTGATAAATCGAGAGCTGAACTACAATCAAGTAATCAACCTCCATGCATATATTGGGTCAAAGTTTTGAATTTGAATCCGAAACTGAAACCAATTTCAATACATACTCACTACTCTGACAATAATTTTGTGCTCAATTCTGAAGTCAAGACTTCAGGCAAGAGAGGGAAAAAGCGATTTCCATTTTATTGCCATGACATTAAGCTAACGATCTCTAGAGTCTAGTGAATTTGATTGAGATTACTTTTTTATTCAACCTGTATGTCCAATACACCACAGCCGGTCATGCTGTAAACATTAGCACAATCTGAAATTGACAATTTATCCTAACTGAGTATGCGTAAATTGTACATGCTGAGGTGCACAGAATATTTACGTGGGGCTACTAAATTATCTCAAGATATAGTCGGCAATTTTTATTTATCTGTTGAAGAGGTAGATTTTTCCACTCGTTGCAAAGTCTGTCATTAATTGTTATGTTTTCAGTTGTCTGAGTTCTGTGCACGGTCACGGAGATTGAGCTCATTGTATTTTCGTATAATGAAGTAATCGTCCAATATGAATAGCTGAGATGAAACAAAGGATTTGTGCACGGCGAGGATCCCCAGTTCAACACCAAACAAAGGTCTTTTGTTTTGAAGCTTTAAAGTTTGCCGCGAGCTTCCAGACCATCATATATTGACAGACAATGCAAAAATCCACTCGCAAGCTCGCTGCCAGTGCTTGCATCTAAAAAACCGTCGAGCATTGTGATTAGATGAGCACTCGCGGCGAGCTTACGAAAGTCATAGTTTGACTAATGTCGCGGGTCGCGTGTCGCGGGTAAAAAGTCGCGGGTAAAATGTCGCGGGTAAAAAGTCGCGGGTCGTAAAAAAGCTCTAAACCGTGTATTTTATTGAGTCGCGGGTTGAATAAAGTGTGTAAAAATCACATTAAAATTTAGTTATTTAATGGTTTTCATCAATAGCTGTTCGAAGATGTTATGGCTGCAATTGCGAGTTTCTAGATAAATATAGACAAGAGCCATATAACATTATTGTAAAGCACGTTGATAGACGGTAGTGCAAAAGGATCCTGTTACACATTCCTATGTTTATAGTCCTGATTTTAGTAATACATATTACCAGGCGTAAAAATCCGCTATTCAGTGGCTCAGTGCACGTTGTCGTCAAGCCTCTGTGCCAGAAACAAGTGCTAGAGAACAGCGACTTAAATATCCGGGTTGTTGGTGAATCATAATGTACTTTTATAATGTCCTAGCATGGATATATCTATTATTTGTGATACTATATGGTTGTTTTTAAATTGGTATAAAACTGATTGTAATAGTAGTGGTAAACTGAATTTATTTCTACCAAAGTCTTGTTTGTTTGTTTCTTTCAGAACATATTTTTTGATTAGAGGATTTTTGACATGGTATAATTGTTGGTTTAACATATTGAAATTATTCTTTCAAGTTTTAGGCTTCTGGCACGTTTATATAGAACCATTAAATCATGACAAAAGGCTCTTGGGCAATATTTCGTATTGAAGCAATCCTATATAGTTGTTTACTAAATGATAATGTGATTTTTACACACTTTATTCAACCCGCGACTCAATAAAATACACGGTTTGGAGCTTTTTTACGACCCGCGACTTTTTACCCGCGATATTTTACCCGCGACACTCGACTTTTTACCAGCGACACGCAACCATTAGTCAAACTCATTAAATCATGACAAAAGGCTCTTGGGCAATATTTCGTATTGAAGCAATCCTATATGGTTGTTTACTAAATAATAACGTGATTTCTACACACTTTATTCAACCCGCGACTCAATAAAACACACGGTTTGGAGCTTTTTTACCACCCGCGACATTTTACCCGCGACCCGCGACATTCTACCCGTGACACGCGACTTTTTACCCGCGACACGCGACCATTAGTCAAACTCGTATGATAACCAGATAACATTGGAATTCGCGCGCTGAACATTCGATTAGATGGAACGGAAGTTTTTAAACATGAAGCGGAGATTTTCTCAGGAAGCTTGTATAAACATTTTTATCAGTTCTATATCATAGCTTGAATATGTGAAGAATTTTGTTATGTTAATAAAAACATGACAGATGCAAAAGGTTTCGGCGTCATGGAGACTCCATGAAGATGTTTAGAGAGTTTTTGTTAATATCTCAAACGATTGTTGATTTACAGCTTATCAAAAATGTATTCATTTATTTATTTATTTAGCTTCGCCTTGAAAAAACGTGCACAATACAAGTGCAACAATTCATATACACTGAGAAAGAACAAGAGGCGGGGACACCACAACAGTTTACACCAATTACTGTGGGCCCTTTAGTTGAAATTAGTGACAAATGACAGACGAAAAAAATTTAATTTTTTTTTATGTCAGTCCATCAGAAGGTTGTAACCCACCTCTTGGGATCTGACTAATTTTTTCACTATGCAGAATTTGTTAATATCTCAAACGATTGTTGATTTACAGCTTATCAAAAATGTATTAATTAATTTTATTTATTTATTTATTTAGCTTCGCCTTGAAAAAAACGTACACAATACCGGTACAACAATTCATATACACTGAGAAAGAACAAGAGGCGGGGACACCACAACAGTTTACACCAATTACTGTGGGCCCTTTAGTTGAAATTAGTGACAAATGACAGACGAAAAAAAATTATTATTTTTTTTTTTAACTTAACTAATTAGTCTAGTAGCAACACTGATCGGCATCTATTAGATTGCGCGATGTGTTGCACTTAGGCAAACAGTTTTCGAGGCTCGAGCATCATCCACGTCGTAGCAAGATACAAGACTAACGTCTGTATTCTAAAAGCACACTTACACTCAATGAGTGGAGGTTCAATCAAGTATCAATGCTGTTTTTGAATAGCTGGAGGGTGAGTAGACACATAGTAAGGTACGACACTAACCCTCCAGCTATTCAAAAATAGCATTGACACACCAGAGAAGCTCAGGTTGAACCGCCTCCACTCATTGAGTGTATAATGTTAGAGGTATAAATGTTCTAGTCTTAACTGTTTTGGTTTAATTTGCCTGCCTCCAATTCCACTTCCAGTTTTCAAAATGTGATAAAAAATTTTAGAAAAAATATTACGTAGAGTCATGTAATAATCATAGAAAATATTGGTGCATAGTCCTTAAAATAGTTTTTGTGAATATTTCCAACTCTAAATGAAAAAAGTGGTATTGTTTTTCACATTAAGTAGTACCAATTGTTCAAACAATTGAAATAAAACAACCTGCAGTGGGGAGAAACTTAAATATGCGTTATTGTCACGATGTACAAAACAGTTTACGAACTTTTTATTTTCTCAAACTAAATACTAACATTATTCAGGTTATTTGCTTTGCTCAATTCAAAATATTGTTTTAATGCAGCAGCCATGAATTCTGAACCGAGTTCCTTACATGTTATTTTTATATCAAACTTAATCAATTGGTGTACGCATGAGTGGAACAGACTCTTCTGTATATTAACAGACTGTTCTGTATATTTCAAACTAAATACCATTTTAGTTTATAACCATGGGCGTACCGGAAGGAAAAAATTAGGGGGGCGGAAAGAAAATTGCCCGACTGTTCGGGATTGTGCCCGACTAGTACCAAAAAATTTTTTCCGGAAAAATTATTTTGGCGACAGAATGTGTCCCATTTTTTTTTATTGCAAACCAAAATTGTCCGACTGTTGATCGAATATTGCCCAACTGCCCAAAAAACTGGGGGGGCTACCGCCCTCCCCGCCCTCCCGCCCAGTACGCCTATGTTTATAACCAAATCGACCATATTTCCTCTGCAAACCAAGGTTTACTCAGTGAGCTCCATATATACTGGAGCGAGAACTCGAGTCCAAAAAGTGCATTTCCAGTTATTTCCCACAATAATTTTGTTTAGGTACATTATAAAAGTAACCATGTGTATATTGCCTGATGATAGACAGATATATTTCTGTGAAACGCATATCTAACTGAAAAATTAGTGAGGATTCTTGCCGATGATTATCGTATTGTAAAAGAGCAATAACACCAGGAGACGTAGCTAGCCCAAATCAAAAATGAAGTGGGGGAAAGGGTCTAATCGTCCGGCCGGACGTGCATGGTTTTTCAGGCCCTGCAAAATGCTATTCCATGTATTTTAGACACGAGAAAATATGGAATGATAGTGTAGGGGTTAATATCAGGATTCTGGGCACCTCATTCTATTGCAACTATCGAACCCAGCGGCGTAGCCAGCTTGGATAATTGAGGGGTCCATATTCATATATTCGTGTTCACAGACCTTGAAAACAATCGATTTCCAAAGAAATTAATAATGCGGAACATTAACCCGAATATATGAATATGGACCCCCCCCCCAATTATCGAGCTGGCTATGTTGGGGATTGCCTCCCTTGTTTCGCCCAACAATTCACGTACAAATTAAAACCACAAATAAATTAACAATGACGATATACAGTTTGGATATATATATATATATATATTAGAACAAACAAAACAAATTTAACAAATTAAAGGTTCACTTAGATTCTCTTCTCTCGCAATATCACAAGTCACGCTCTCGAGGAAGTTTTTCTCAACACATAATGTTTCATGTGCATGCAGATTTTTGTATTGTCTTTCGTAACAGGCACGCAATGACCCGAACTTTATACAAGTTGGTACAACTTGGTACAAGTTGCCAATGTGCTGCTACTCCTTGGTACAAGTTCTCAAAGTGCTGGTACCCCTTGGTACAACTTGCCACCTTGACCGACCTAGTATAATATTCTAAATTTAACTAATATAAAATTTATGTGAAGTAATGTTCAATATAAAAGTTTGATCAACCTAAAATTGGAATCGTTATATATAACTAACTAAAATTAATAACGTGCTATAATAATAATAATAGACAGTCTCCGACAGCTACGCCGCTGATCGAACCTGCGGCCCTGTGGTTGATTAGAGCGCTGCACCGGTATCGCAGGGTCGCAGGTACGATTCCTGCCAGAGGGACGATAGTTGCAATTTTCGCAACTGCTTGTGGTTAGGTCTAATAAATGTATGAAAATTCCACTAAAAATTTCCATCTACAAATCTCTTCATGATAGCGTGAACATGCAAGTATTAGCAAAGTATTTTTAGTGAATATAATAAATCCTACAAGTTGATTGGTGAAATTTGACGTATTAAGTATAGGTTATTTTGAGGCAACGAGGGGATATGTGATTTATTCACCGAAGCGCGCAGCGCCGAGGTGAATAAACACATATCCCCGAGGTGCCTCAAAATAACGTACTTATTTTTCACACTGCGAGGTCGCGTTAATGAGTCAGAAAAGAAAGAATTCTTAATGCCATATTGCCTTCGCGATGTTGTTTTTTCTCATTTTTTGTGCTGCAAAGACATTGCAGGTGAATATTAGAGAGGATTATTAATTGCAGGTGAATATTAGAGGGGATTATTAAACGGAAATTGGTTAGAGGGGAATATTGATTATATTCCCCGACAAGAACAAAGGAAACCGAGCAGGGTGAAAAATAAGCTGTTATATTCACCTACAGGTGAATATAACAACACCGAAATTTGCAAACTGGCGGCTAGCCGTTTTGTGGAAGTTACTGCTAAAGAAATAAGGGAAATTAAAATCAATTCAGTTACACTTAAACACAATTATTATAGTGAACCAATTTCTCAAACCAAGTACGAAAGGGCATATCCCCCCAGCTCCCCTGCTTGCACTGTCCCTGGTCTAAAGACAAAAATACAATATATTTTACCAAATTAAATTTTACAGTAAAGGAAAAATTGTCTGTGAATTTAGCGGTTTTGGTGGTTTAAAGTGCGCTCTTTCAGATTAAATACAATGTAATTGTTTACGTGGTCCGAGACATCGAAAATATTTTACTTGAAAGACAAAGGTTGTAAAATTCTCAAAAGTCATAACATTAGTTTAGCCGCGTTTAAAATAATGAGCTCCCCGTTGTGGAATGACGATTCTAATGTTATTTTCAGATTCCTTGACACAAAACGATTTAGAATACAAATATTAGGGGCAGGGCCGTAGCTGGACGCGATAATGGACCATTTGCATTATAGACTAAATTTTGATCTAGACAAAATTTCATCACAGCTTGAAAGAGCATCACAAAATTAGTAATATTCCAAAGTTTCGTTGCGAAATGTTGTAAAATGCGGATAATATAGCCATGCGAAGTTTGCCGTTTTTCAGTCATTTTGTATTACGCACAGGAAATTGACAGCCCAATCGGGTGTTGGGGCCATCAATTTCCCGTTTGTAATACAAAATGACTGAAAATAGCAAATTTCGCAAGGCTATATTATCCGCATTTTACAACATTTCGCAACGGAACTTTGGAATATTACCAATTTTGTGATGCTCTTTCAAGCTGTGATGAAATTTTTGTCTAGATCAAAATTTAGTCTATAATGCAAATGGTCCATTGGTGTATATTCATATATTCATGTTCACATACCGTAAAAGCAATCGCTTTCAAAAGAAATCCGTCTGGCACAACACGAATATATAAATATAACCCCCCCCCCCAATTATCGGTCTAGCTACGGCTCTGGTTAGGGGAATAGGAGCTACACATAAAAACGTTTATAAGCTTCTGAAGTTAAACTTATTATTCAGGAAGTGGAATTGGAGCATGGCAAACACCCTAAAATCAGGTAGTTTTTAATAAACTGTTTGAGATATTACCAATGTCTGGTAATGGTGAAAATCTGAGCCAGATCCTAATATGTCGGTTACAAATTTTTAAAAAATCTGATAAATTGACATGAAATGACACTTTAGCAAACAAAGTAATTTTGAGAGATACGTCAAAAATGATTTTAGGTTTCGGGACGCTTTTCATCGCAAATACGTAACACATAAAATAGTAACATAGCAGCGGTATGAGGCTGCCATATGACGTGTCTATATGAATTCAATATGAATTTTCGGTACAATTTGTACCCATGATTTAACTATTCTTGCCCATGCAAGTTTCGACTGAATGTGACTGTAGTTTGATTATATACAGTACTGTCCAGAAATAACCTAACAAAAACCACGGATAACCTAGGTCAAACTAAGTCGAACCTAGGTCGAACCTAGGTCGAACCTAGGTCAAACCCAGATCGAACCTAGGTTAAACCTAGGTTAGACCTCGGTTTGACCTAGGTTAACCGCGGTTTGAGTGAGGTCTGACCGAGGTTTAACCTAGGTTGCCTAAGCCGCTAAGGTTTGACCGCGTTTGATCGAAACAAAAACCGCGGTCGACCGTTGCCGAGACAGCACCGCAGTTTGTTTGTCCAGTAATCGGAAATGAATGTTTCCGAAATCGTTTCCGAATTTTCGCATCTAAGCGTCTTTCCACTGATTAATTTGTCGGTCGCTTACAAATTTCGGGACAAATTTGTGTTTTAAGATGCCGAAATTATCCGCGTATGCTCGAGAGAGAGAGAAAGAAATCAGAGTTATTAATCTGTATTCCTCAGGAGAAAGCGTAACCACTAAATAACAAAATAACAGGAAGGGGAAGGAATAAAAGTTTCGAGATCAGCGGCTCCTACAACAACAGCACTTACCATGGAGCTTCACAACTAGTGCTTCATAGTCCAAACCATCGAATTCGACTTCAACTATAGATCCTTCAGTGAGTCATTTTGCTTCTCCGCTTAAAATTCGTTTCACTTTACTGGTAATCAAAATACTAGTACACATATCTTCCTTGTAGACCACAAGCAGTCGTTTCGGATTTCGTTCCGCCAATCTTTGACTCATATTAATTAAAAACTTTAGGAATATTACTGATACTGATTCACTAAACGTCGATAGAGCTTGTAGCCTATCACTGTAGCAAGAGGATACGATTTGCTATTCACGAGTGAAATGCCATGTGCAACTGTTTTGCAGTTCTTATATATTCGAAATATTCCCGTATTTATAATGAATGTGCAGACATACTATAATAATTTACTCTTTTTGCCCGCTATTTTTCTGTTTTGAAAAGCGATGCATGTGTGATGCGTGTCATGCATGTCGGCGGAAATCCCAAAACAGTCATTAAGGCAGCCCGTAGCAACGGCTTAATTGCCTTTGGAAAACAGAGTCAGACAAGATTTGAGAAAAAAACCCAAACATGCTGCGATATTAATAAGAAAATTGTTGCCGTTTTTATTTAGCATATATATACAGCAGTATACGCCACATATTACAATACTGTTTGTCAATGAAAATTTCTTTTGGTAGCAGTAACAGTAGAAGTAGTAACTTTTATTCAGGAAAAATTTTCAATTACACATAAGTCATTGTTATTTTGTGTTTCAACGTGCGTGTAAGGTCATTTCGTACTCAATTACCTTTAATTAAACTGATTTTCGTTTTATAAAACATATTTGGCTGAGACTTAGTGAAACATAAATTGGCTGAAAACGCGATGTCGATGACTCATCAGACGCATTGTCATTGATGGATTTTCTTGAATGTCGACAAAATTCAATATTTTCCGAAACAAAATTCTGTACGTAGTCAATTTTTTATTTAGTTCTCACGAAAAAAACTAGTTTCATATTATTCTAGATCTGACACTGCGGAGTATACAACAAAAAATCGTTGTCTGTTAAAACCTGCCTGAGCCTCTACTGACTCTTCACTTCTCCAACTGAACCGATTTTAGGAATTTTTGCTATACAATAATACAATTTGGGACTTTTTCAGCTGTTTAATATAACTGTATCAGTGATTTCGTGTACGCAGGTTGCGGAACCCTTTTAAGAGACTAAGACTGATCAGTGTTTTCAATAATAATCATCATAGCAGGCTGCATTTCAAAAATAGGCGTCTGCGTTCAAAAATTTCAAGTGAAAGCCAAATTTCAACCCTTTTTTAGGTTTTCAGTAAAAAGCAATCTGCATGCATCCTATAAATTTAAGATTGATTTGGACTTCTTTCTTCTCCCCACCTTAAACTTTTGTAATAATATGTTGCTCTTACTTTTAGTGATAATATTAACTTTTAATATAATACTCATCTGTACAGGATTAGTGTAGGTAATAGTACGGCTTCAAGTCCATTTTTGAAAAGACATGCATGAGTATGGTGTCCAAGAGGATCATGGTAACTGTTTATTTCGTAGTGTAAGCCATCAACTTTACAAAACAGAAAGTCGTCATGCCCAAATAAGAGCTCTTGCAATTCAACATTTAATAAACGAGTTACGAAGGGAGTGATAAGGAATTGTTTACCCCTAAAAACGTTGTTCTAATCCACATTTTTGAGTAACGTGCCTACTCTAGCCTATGGTTGCTTTAGCCTATGCCTGCTCTTAATGTTCTAGGTTGTCGGCGACCTTATACAGTTCTTGCCGTGTCGTGTCTTTTTCAATTTGAAACTTTACACTATCCTTGGATCCCTAGTTACTTGCTTTATACTATTTTCAATAAAATAATACAATCTAATGTCGCTAGAAAATTACAGTAAACGAAAAAATAACCGGCTGTCAGAGGTGAAATAGGCGGCGGCAAACCGCCGGTAACCGCCTCTTATTCAGTGAAAACACAGACTGATCTATAGGTATAGGAAAAATAGACCATGCAGGGTTCAATATATATAACAGTCGATCACTTTCCGAGCAAAATGGCGCCAATATACAATTATTTCTATGCTTTGGAAAAACATTAATTGATCATTTTGTCACTGATTAATTTGAATAATTTCTCGCTCGTTTTTTCAAAACAAAAACGCACTCTTTCACTAATCTGTTACACATGCGACGGAAGTTAGAAAAGGAAGATATACGAATGAAGTTAAAGATAAGGAACCTATAGCATTTATCCAAACTTCTAACGTACTTCATCAGGACAACACTGGGTTGCTAGTGTCACACAGTTCAGTATGGGGCTGGTGCTTGGCTTAGCCTTAGGTTCCTTATCAACGTTATTCGTATATCTCCCTTTTCTTTATAGGACTTCTGTTAGAGTTAGGGATTTTGGTTAGAGCTGGGGTTCACAATCTCATAATTCAATCTTAGGATTCAATGATTCAATCTTATGATTCAGTCATTCAACTTTAATAGTCATGATTATAGTCTTAATAGTCTTATGCAGTTATGGGTTGATTCAGACGATCCATCGGACTCAGAACCCCTATATCTTAGTACATACTATACCAATACAATATTGATCAAATGAGTTGCTGTATTATATTGAATATATTCAAATTTCGTATATATATATGCAAGTGAAATTAGAATGCATGAAATGTACAACTTTTCTCTTTTGAGTTATTTAAATAATTCGTTCCGATCACGTTTTGACTAGAACGTGGGATGGTCTGACATATTGTCACACAAAGTTTTTAGAATTATATGGTATACTGAACAAATTGAGAATGTAATTAAACTTTTTGTGAATTCGCGATTCTCCTCTTGGTTTATTGAGCCCGAAAATTGTTCAGGTATGTGCCAATGAAGTTGTATTAATTAGTTGTATTTACCATTAACCAATGCGAGGTTACTTCCCCTCCCATGTTAAAAATTGTCCTTCGAAGTTCCTCAACAACCTGATCACGATATTTTTATGATGATTTATACCAATCGATTGCGGTTACGGCATTTCAAATTCTTAAGATATTTTGTGTATTAGTCAGATGCTGTTTTTTTAACAATTGAATTAATTTTGCTGCAAAATTCGTATTTAATTCGCAAACCTTTCACATTTTACAAGAACAGCAGGGAGCGACCTCAGGAGGAATCGACTTCCCAGATTCTGCATAATGGTAGCCAAAAATATAGTCATCAATATGACATGCTTACTTCTAATTTTCTAAGACCAATTAAGTCGTTTCCGTTTATTAATTTGGATATAGAGTCGTAAATTTATCAATGCGCAAAGAGCACTGTGTGAATAGGACAACCTTGTTAACCTAACAATTTATCCACTGGGGGTCTCATTTGTTGACTTATATCGTCTGGCAAGTGGCGACCTTCAGTTGAAAGCAATGATTTAGGGGGTCTAGTTTTGGAGACATTTTCGTGAGCTGATTATCTTAAAATCACTTACATGTATACTAGATAGCGTCGCGTGACAGAACTATAAAACTTGCGATTCGCAATGGCAAACTTGATGCGTCTGTGGGAAGCATAGCCTATAATCCTAACACATAAATTGATCTGCGTTTATACATATATATGTTTATACATATATATGGTATATATTGTCCCGTCAGAGATTAGGCAGCCTTTCCGGAGAAATTAAAACACGCTTTGCGTCCAGACGAAAGAAAGAATATTGCAAGAAGATGCATTCTTTTCTATGATGCATATGATGTACGCACACTTTTAACTTTGGAGGGCCACTGCTACTTTCGAATGTTTTTAACGAGTTTCATTGTGACGTATTTGAACAATCAGAATAGCGGCCTTTCGAAACGTTATAATGACAGGATAGGGACCTAATAAGCGATCGTGATCTATGGTGTCAGTTTCCAATTCATTGCTTTAGGGTATAAAAATATTTATACTGCATATCGGCCCTGGTATGTCAATCCTTTAAGCCTTAGTCACCGTGGAGCATATGTCAAATTTTCCTAAAGATCGCACATTTTTGTTTCCATATAATTCCACATTAAATACAGGACAAAACAAGTATTTCGTGTTTCCAGATCTTAATCATATAAGTTATCTTAATCGTATAATCGCGTTGTTCCTATTCTTATTTTCCGTATATAGCTAATCTCTAACGGATATTAGGAATATCCCCAACCTAAAGATATACCGAAAATTCTCAATTTAAATAATATAGATATATGACTGCCTGGACAACTTTCTGGCTCTTTATTAATTCTTAAAAAACATTCCAATCCGCTTAAAGTTATACCATTAATATGCCTAATGAGTATTAGCCATTAGCCAAGCACGCCAAATTTCAGTAGATTAACAGCTGGCAAGTGGCAAAATCGAGAGAAATTCGCAATGCAATGGCAAGGTTTAAGTAAAAACGATATAATCCTCACTAATATTCTTCATGCGTCAAATTGCAGAAAAGGTTTTACAGAAAAATTCGATGCGTAAAATATTGATATCTTTCATCGTCCGAAACATAAACAAATTTGTACTAATTTTCTATTAACACTCCGGACCCGTAAACATCGCGTTCAAAATGTTTTTGGATTAAGCAAAATTATATATATATATAGTTTTCTCTTAATCTGTTTACGTCCAATTTCATTAGTCTTCCTACTCGTACCGTTAAAATGTTTTTAGTTCTTTAACATCAAACGCTTGCTAATTCACTCTTTAACATTATCATTTATCATGCTGTGCATGCATGCTTGACTCGATCGGAAAACGACTGAATCGCATCTATTTACGTCTTTTACGATATTCAATATAGGTGATTGACGATCCCGCGAAATTGTCAAATGGTTCGTTAATTTTAATTGCGCTGTTCAAAAAACCTCTCTGAAGATGAATAACTTCTTAATCGAGTATTAAAACTACTGCCGAAATATAGAACTTCCCTAAAAATTATTCAATATGAATTGTATAGTCATATCTTATTTTTTGCACGCTGTAAAACCCCTATGTCGACACACTCTAGGTATGATATGCTTTGTATACTGTTACTGTAGCTCGGAAAGGGCCAATTTCAGTATTCGTGCCGATGTGATTGAATGCTTATCGATCAGCTTATAATTGTAGTTTTATTATAGTTTTTTTTGTGTTGGTCGGTGTACTCAGGTGAATATGATGTTTGTGATGTTACTCTGAAAAGCAAAGCTTGAAAAATATGCCTGTAGGTTCGATTCATCGATTCCCACCGTGGCCAGGCATATTTTTCAAGCTTGTCCGATGGGGATATACACTCAGAGTAACATCACAAACATTTATTATAGTTGTTGAGAAAATAATGTATCTTTGGCTCTTTGCCTTTTCTAACGAAGCCAGTTTCCGAGATTCTCAGCCATATTTTGTTTAGGTGAAATTATACATACGCGTGCATGCTGTTTCTTTCGTCAAACTGCGTCTGTGTCCCCGATCACCATATTAAGCTCCCAGAACCGCTGTGAGTGCTCGTTTCTGAACAAATTTCTGTCAAAAAGCCCCATTGAGTTATCTTTAAGTTGTCGCATAAAAGTTTGAAATATAACGCGCTACGATAGCAGTCCTATTGCGGCGCACCAGCGCGAGCTTGAGTTCAGTCTCGTTAGTTCATTGCTCGCGAACATTCTCTAAATCGATCAGTAATTGTAGCTACGTCAACATCGTTTTACATCAACCTTTGTGCGCGCAGATCACTACATTTACAGTAGGAACATATTAATTAAAGCACTTTCCTAAGGAATGTAAGTCACAATACCTTTTGTCGCCAAAGTTTTCTAGGATACCTCTTTATAGTAAACGCGGTCCCTTTTACTCCCACTGTTAAACGGTAAACTTTAATATTTATCACGCAGTTCACCCTAATATTCGCCTGACTGTTTAAGCTCTGCCAGTCACTATGCTATTACACTGTGATATAGCGGAGATTGCAAGGTAACTTTATACTGCTGGAATGCGTTGTAGCAGACTGACTATAACATTTGACGAAATATTGTCACAGGCATCAATATCCTTGGATAATCCAACAGGCGAGAAAAACAAGAGCTAATGATAAACACGACGTTTGACAGCTCATGTACACAGCTAAAAGTACAAAAATGTATAACTAATTAAACTGAGACGTTCTTTGATCCTCGAATTTGCATGCGTTACATAATATGTAATTTGTCTTCAACGAGAAATATTAAAGTGAGTCTGATTACTCTGATAAGATTTTGGCTTAAGGTTGTATTTGCATAATATATTGATGTTGCCCCTGGCACGGCTCTGAAACAGAATCGTTTCAGTCAATTAGCCATCAGATCATAAATTTGCTTGCTATTATTTTCGACAACAATATGATAAACTCACCTCGAGGTTTTAATTAAAATATTGCATACATGTGTTATCATTCAATCTTTTAACAGAGAAAGGGTTTGGTTTTGAAGCAAAACAGATTGCTTTAATTGATTTATTAATGTTTCCACAGCAGTAGTTAAAGATCATTGAAAGTAAATCCCTGCAATTTCTGGCTATATCTTATCCCTCGGGTTATCTTACGAAAGGTTTCTTTGTTTTTTTTTTACTAATTTTGTTATTGTCCACCTAAAACGACTGACTGATCAATTATGTTTGCGTGATGTTGGGCTCCGTGTGTGACGTGTCTGTTGCTCAAGCTTCAATAATTTCTTAACACGTATGTCAGGCATACAAATATCGAGCCTGAATGTCCTGAATGATGGCAACAGCATGTTTTGCTTGAAATCACGAGATATAAAGACTGCATTCAGATTGCCATTTTTGTTACTTTTTGGTTAATTTAAAGCATCAACCGCTTGAGCTTCTGCTCTTCAACAGAATGGAGAGTAGCTGTCGTTTCAACTGTATGATAAGGAACTAATGAAATTTTTCTTTGCAACTGGAGCAGAAAATTCGTTTTCAGTTTCTCTAGAAAGCTGCGGATTAAGAGGGATTCAACTACTAAAGCTAGGTCGAAGTTTCGAGCGAAGGCCCCGCTTTATTGGGAAGTTGGTAGCCGACGAAGGTATTTTTCATGTCGTTCAACCATCTCAATCCGCAGATTTCTGGTGTCGTCACAGACCGTTCGAGTTTCTCTTCTCTTCTCTTCTCTTCTCTTCCCTTCCCTTCCCTTCCCTTCCCTTCCCTTCTCTTCTCTTCTCTCTACCATTTTCACTATACCATTTTCACTGTGACTGCATAGGATTAAACAATGAGCCGGTTACAAAACAAAGTATGGATAAATCGTTTGTGGAATTACATTGATATATTCAACTATATTATTGTATAGATTAACAAATAATTCCTACGAAAAACGAATTACTTAGCAGAGGAACGAATTGCTCGGCAAAACGTTGTATAATACCACTATTCGATCCATCCAATATTGTATGAGATCCTTTCAGTGCAAATCCTCAGTCAAACTAATTCAATACTAATAAAACAAATTCGAACAGTTTTTGCAACATATATTGCAATAAGAGAACCGCTGACCAAGTGATTCTAATAAGATTTTTGATATTTATTGGTAACAATATTCTCAATTAGCCTTTCTCACGCGGTCACGCCGCCATTTTTGGGGTACTGCCTTTTCCACTGAGATTGTATGCAGTAAATGAGGGTTTGTATGACTAGAATTGTGAGTATAATTATTATAAGTTAATTTACAGTTAAATATTTGAAACACTTCACATCTTTTAGATTTTTCACGTCGTTTTTAAAAAAGGTACCCCAAAAAAGGCTAATTGAATAGTTCATAAATCAAATGACGAACTTCATATGAACAAAAAATGTAAAAATGCTGAAATACTATCTATTATATCATTGATAATATCAAATATCCGCAAAGAACAATTTGATGAATTTGTTGTTTTTTTGTTTTAAATCTGTGCTATGCCAGCAATTCCAGAAAAGCCAATTACGCTTTTATGTATTGTTTCGAGCAGGTTCTCGTGTCCAGACTGATGAAACATGTGTATTGATGATACAAGACAGGGACACTTGCTAATAAATTGAAGCTAAATGATAAAAAAGAGAAATAAGTCTGATTGATCTTTGCATGCTTTCATATACGGGTGGGCAGCAGCACTAAAAGCCCAGGTCAAATAAATATGAGAGTTGATGAGAGCTGACATGCAGACTCTGACGTATTGTAACGGAGGATATTTCAAGCTCTAGACTAACACTAAATGAAGATTTGATGAGTGTTGTATGTTATAAAAGTATGTTATAACTTAATTAAATACAACACATGATCGATAGCGTTGTAAAAACACTTAACCAGGGTCGCGTGACTGCCAACTCTGATGCACTCTCATCCTCGTTTGATCCGAGCTTAAACGAGTTTAGGGTTAATTGACTTGTGCATGCAAGTGAACGAATCCTATTATAGTCAGATTATTTTAACCATATGTACCGTGCCGAGCACACTACTTCTTAGATCAACATACTCACAACAGAGTCCAAGTGAAGAACAATATATTTGGTTAATTACTAGATTAATTTATAGTACAGACACCAACCCGCGCCAACTTTAGTTATCTTACAATTAGTTATTTATGTAATATTACGTGCGCACACACCCTACAGGAAACTACGCCCAAATTAACATCATTAGCGCAATAGGAAAATATTCAACCCACGTACGCTACACATATATTATATTTTTCGACTATATGGTGAAAAAGTGGATGGACCGTGTCCCCTCCCCCTGCCCCCAGTTCCGCGGGCCCTGTTTTATGGTGTTATATAATGCCCGAGAGGGAATGTTCGTTTTAAATATTAGAAGATATTGGATGAATTCTTCAGGCTAAAAAGTAAAATATCGTAATACTTGCTCCACTCAAATTACAAACTATACAAATAGAAATACAAACAAATACCAACAAATCATTACAATTGAATCAGAAATATATAAAACCGAGCTATTTAAAAAATAGTGGAATAAAATTGAAATGTGGTAGATCTAATTGTTTTAACAGAGCTTGTGCTCAAAACGTATTGTTAGGGGCGGCGCAAACCCTATTTTGTTTAGGGGGGGAGGTGTTAGTGAAATTGTGCCGAGTCATTTTGTAGTTTGCCGACTCATTAACCTGGGTAGATGTGTACGTGTATCCTTCAAATAGAACGTATGTACAATAATAACCAACTATTATTTTGATACTCACAATGTTACATTTGTAGGAGTAGAAAGTCTGAAATATATTACATAACGAATTTATAATATGGGCCCGCATGGGCTCTTTTTTAAAAATGCTGCTTTGCCTTTGCTGCTTTTCTAATCCATAACAACTTAACAAAGACTTAATAGTATATAACTGTATATTAGTAGCAAAAACTGTCAATACATGCTGACATTTCACTAGCTAGTTTTTAGTCTTGAAATGCACCTAAGAAATGACAAGAGCAAATTTTTAAAAATAGCCATTATTATGCACGGCTAATGACTTGGCTTTTATTCCCATTGACTTAGGACTGCGTGCATGTTTAAATTTAGTATCCAGTGCTCCAGATGCTATTACGCAAAAAGAAACACCCGTCCTCTATTTGCCAACAGCGCACAGATGTTTTGTTCCGTGATGTTCGGTAACTACGGTTGGAATTCAAATTATTTAATCTTGGTTCCTTCCTACCCAATTCACATTTTGCCGATTGGGAAAACAATTTTCCGACTCACTGAAGCGTGGTGGGGGTTTTTCATCCCCCTACACCCCATTTCTAGCGCATTTTTGAAATATTTAACTGTCGGTATCAAATGTGCGAGTTAAATATTAATTGTGTATAAGAGTGGGGAACGCGAGGCGCAGCCGAGCGTTTTATGTCTGATAAAACACGACAACGAAGTGTTTTAAATAGAGTTAAAACACGACTACAAAAAAAACTAATTAGGATGAACAATTATACAATACCACATGTGTTTTATCAGGCTTATGGCTGACATGATTTCTGACAAGGTTTCTGAATTATTCATGATATTTTAAGTAACTTTTACGTTTATATTTACAACAAAACATAGACGGAGCGGGAGGGGGATGCGCACCCCTCAAAAATATTTTGCCAACCCCCGCCAAAAGAAAGCTTTCCCACCCCACCTAGAGAAATTTGCACCCCCCTCCCCAAATGAAAGAAAGTTTAATGCTCATTGGGATAAATGACAGTAGTGTGATTGAAATAAAGATTTTGAACTAAGTAAGGATTTTGAACAAAATTAATACGACCAAAATAAGACCAAAATCCCACAAGGATTTTGAACTAAATAAGACAAAAAACTCAAAATATTCTGGGGTTTTCGTCCCCTTACCCCCATTGGCAATTGTGCCCCAACTGTGCCTCTTCGTCCTCTTACCCCCATTGGCAACTGTGCCCCTGCTACAGCTTGCTCGGCGGCGCTACGCACCCTGTCGAGTCACCTCCCCCTACATTTTTGGTACATCCCCTCTAAATTTTCGGCATCCCCCCAGAGCAAAATCTGAAAATCCGCCTATGTAGAAGAACACATAAAATCTTGACTGTTTCAGTAGAAAAATCTGTAGTTGAAAATTCTTGACTGTTTCAGTAGAAAGAGTCACTGAAGTTGATTGAATAGATCTACTGAGTTGATTGAATAGATCTATTTAGTCCCTGATAATTTAGAAATAACATGTGTGGAGATTACTAGGCAACGTAGTAAGCCTTTTCTAATTGCTACATGGTATCGACCACCTAATTCAGAGCTCGACATATTTACCAACTTTGAATTGTTTCTTTTTAAGTGCGATATGGAAAATAAGGAATTAATCTTAGTTGGGGATCTAAACTGCGACGTTAACAAACTAGCTCCTGATTCACAACCTCATAAACTGCAAACTTTATGCTCTTTATATCAATTAACTCAAGTCATTAATGAACCTACGGGAATTACGGAGACA